AAATCTTTAAGAGATTTTTTCAAGAAAAAAAAATCTTTTCGTTGTTTTCCGGGTCAACCGATTTTCACGTTTTGCGTTTTTTCCTATCTGCTTCTGATTATATCTCGTAGTGGGTAACTTTATGTGATGAATGCAAATCCTATTTTGTAGGAGTTTCATCATATCAAACTCGACTGAAAGTATCGTTGTTTAGACCACCACAGAAAACTGGATCCCTACCATCCACCGTGATATTGTGAAAATATTCCACAAGCTTGTCTTATTAGACAATCTATCGGTGTACTGGAATTCGGGTTCTGAGTTGTTTTCGGATCTCCAAGATAAAGCGGAAATTCGAACAAAGCTTAAAGCCACTATACACACCGGAAGAAATGCTCCAACCGGTTACAAATACAGTAAGTGATAACTTTATTGCAATCTTATCACTTTGTCGCAAATGTTATATTCTGTCACTTTTTCAGTCCTTGAACCAATCTCGTTACAAGCAAAGTTGAAATTGAATCAAAAACCAGAAAGTGATGGAACTAACTGGAAAACTCCAAAGGTTTGGCTTTTTTTCTGTCTGCTTCTACATTAGAGATTTCTTTCAGATTGATCTCTCTGTTGACATGAAAACTCTTGCCTTAGCTATCGGCAAATTCCAATACCAGGATATCCTGCTGTTTTTAGAGGCACAAGAAAGGTAGGTATATATATTTTTAACTCCATCTCTAAAGTTCTGTTATTCAGATTCAATCTTGCAACTCAGTACTTGAAGTATCGACCCAATTTGAATGAGTTTAGAGGTCATTATAAGGAATGGTAAGTTCTTAGTTTTTTTGAGACGTTGATTTTTACTCCTTATTAAAATATAGTTACCAATGGATTAATACGAGCTTGATACTTGTTATTGATTTACTAGAGTGCCTCCATACCGCGCCGGCAGCCACCGCTAGCCGCCTTAGCCGCTTTTGCGCACTATCCGCGCCCCAAAATCGAAACCATATATCGTGTTCAAAGTTGATGTAGTGAACTTATTCAACATGCTAACCATCATTACCATATTTTCTTTACTTTTTGAAAAGTCCTTGGGATACTAACAAGGGAATGGTCAAAATTCGAAGTGGCCAATC